CTGGATGAGCTTTCAGGTCCCTTCCAGTCCAGACAATTCTATGATTCTATGAAATTTTGTTTACACACAGCAAGAAAGGAAACCTTTGACTCACCTTGTGCCCATCCAAGTGGGTGATATCCATTTCAAAGCCTGTAAGTGCCTCGACCAGCGAGATTGTCACGTTTGTATACAAGTCATCTCCTCTTCTTTCAAAGACTGGGTGCCTGTGGAAATAAGAGACATTGTAACTTTTCTCCTTCCTGACAGGGGAAATAGATCCCTGAACTTCCTCTCTTTTATTTGTGAGTTTGGACAATTCACAAATTGGAGAGGAAGTGAAGAATAAATGAATTAAATTCAGCTTCATTTTCCTGTACTACTAATAATCTTTCTATTTCTAGGGCAATGAGTGGTGAGGTGTGTCAAGAAGTTGTGACTCACACAATTTTCTTAGTAGCACATATCTTTAAAATAGGGAGATAGCATGCTTATGGAAAAAGCAGATATTTAATGTGATCCACACAGGAACTACTAGTTCATGCCAGAATTCAAGCCAAACTAAATAAAAAGTGGAATTATTGCAGCATCTTAACAGTGGTGAATCCAGCTACTAGTCCAGCGTTGTCAGGGTTGAACATCCTACACAGCCCTGAGCACCAGACCCCTGACTGCACCAACTCTGCTGAAGGGCAAGCTACATGCTAACCAAGTGGGCAATGCTAGCCAGAAAATTGCCTGAAGCTTCCCTTACAGTAACCAGAAGAGAAGTCTAACTGGTCCAGTTACTTACTTAAGAACTTTTATTCGGAAGCGCAAATCACCTGGCTCCCCATCCACATGGGGCTCACCTGTGAAAAAGAAAGAAAAGCTCTGTTTAAAGGAGCTCTAACTTCAGTTAGTAACAATTGAAGAAACAAGCAGTGTGTTAAATACAAAAGAGTTCTGCAGCTCACATACTCAAGGAGAAAAACAACTAGTTGATCTTTACATGACTAAAACCCTGCTTACACGTATCTGTTATTAAAGAACCTACGACTTTGAGTACTGCCTCAATGAGCTTTTACCTCTCTGCTGTTCCGAAAGACTTGCCTGCATAGTACTGGTGTCTTTTACTTGCTGAAGGACTTAATCTCTTTGGGGAGAGGAGATTTCCTCACATACTCAAGGAACAGATACATATTGGAGCAGATGCTCTTAACTCAAAAGCTATCCAAAACATCAGATTCAGAGCTTTTTTTGTGCACACCCCCAGTACCAGCAAATGGAGTGTTATCCAGACTTCAGAAAGAGTATTCTCCTGGATTTCAGCAGCATGCAGAGGACATGGCACTTAAAAACACATGTGCTGATCAGTTACCAAAGCAGGGCTTGGACACTTTCACTGCCATGAAGACCAGCCTTGCATCACAGAAAAGGAGCAAGTCAAAGGTGAGCAGCAGGGCAGTGCCCATGTACATACCTTCACCGATGAAGGGATATTCCATACCATCCCTCACGCCTGGCTCTATCTCCACTTCTAGTGTTCGCTCCTCATTCACGAGCCTGCCAAGAGGAAGAACAAGCAAGCACTAAGTTTTCAAGAGTAGGTGATAGCAGCTACTTATAATTACTGGGGTAATAAGAAGACTCCCCACAAGCTAACGCATACTCTCTCCGTGCTCACATCTAAAACTGGAGAGGGAGTGCTGCCTTTCCTGCGTGCTGATACTCATCTGGTAGAGAAGGCAAAGTTAAGCTCCTAAATGCACAGTCAGCACCTGGATGTGTGACTACACCACAGCATTTCATGTCCAACTGTTCCCAGCTGGAAACTGTGGGCTTCCCTGACTTTGTTTATTCAGATTTAGTTGTGGAATTTCCACTGCAGTATGAGTGACTGTTCAAGGGGCTGAAAGAGCAGATTGGGGAGCTCTACATTTAATAGAGCTGGTCATCTCTACTGTAAGGATAAAGTCTGGCTCCTCGGAAATGAGGAACCTGTGTTAAGTTTTTCCAAATTACCCAGTTCCTACCAGTAATACAGGCACTTTCCTCCATCTAGTGGCAGGTTCTGAAATAAACATCCAGATAGCAGTAAAGAGCAAACTCACTTGACGTTGGGACATTCATCACAAACAACTTCTTGAGTCATTTGGAAACGTCCAGGACCCAACTGGGTGGTCCTCATCTCCTGCCGGCAATTGCATTTCCGTTTGCCAGGTGCCTGTCTTGCCACTGGCTTGTTCCTGACAACCTGCACGAGAGAGGAAGAGGTTGACATCAGGACTCCTGCGTCCCCTTGAGGGTCTGCATTTCTCAAACAGCCTGAACATCATTTATTTTTGTGTGGTGCCTCCACAGTAGCTCCAAAAAGCCTCAGCAAAACATTCTGACAACAGTTTTCACCTCATACCTCTTGCTGATCACACACTAAATACCAGAAGAAGTCTCTCTGACACCACTATTCTCATTTCCTTTCTTTTTCCTGCACACCTTTCTAAATAGGAAAGGTAACACTAGGATGAAACACCTCACACTTTGATTATGATAACTTCCTTGTCCCACAGAATGGGCAAAATTATTTGGAGTTCCCCATTTACCCAGACACTCATAACACAAACTCAGTCAATGCAAATTTTAACATGCAGAATAGCAGGGATTGTCAGCACCAGAAAGGTACCTTCCTTAAAAAAAATAAAAATGAAGGCATTTCATATATTTCGCATATATGTAATCCAGAAACCTGCAGTGACACGTTTACCCATACAAAGAGGTTACGAAAAATCCTCAACATGGTTTTGTAAGAATTGCTAAATGAATTTGAGGCTTAGGAATGGGTCCTCAAATACCACTAAATTCTAAAGACAGACCACTTACACCTTTTCCAACTGGGCTGCTGCAATTAGAAAAAGGTACAGCTAGTCACTGACAGCCGATAAATAAGCTGCTACCACTAGCATCTCTTTCTAAAGAAACTGCCAGATGGCAGAGATGAATAAATGCATCATTTCTTCAGTTAACTACTAGCAAGTAGCATCACAACATCCTCCACTGTCACTGCCAGATACTGAGAAGACGAGCATCTATTTTAGTTCTACTCTTTGGGAGAAAATATCATTCTGACCAAACTTACTTCCACAAAGTTTCCTGAATACACCTCCTCCAGCGTAACCTCCAGGTCCACAATGATGTCGCTTCCTCGAGGAATGTTCCTGTCTTGTTGGCGAGGGTTACCTCCAAACATGAATCCGAAGTCCCCAAAGAAGCTGGAGTGAAGCACATCAATTAATTCAGGAAGGAATTCTGATCAAACAAGGCTTTGCTGAAGGAGGCACCCAATGCAGCAGTGACATGGTGCTCAGCAAATGCTTCTAAGCCCCTACAGAACAGCCTCCTGACAGTACAAAAAGCACTACAGTAAATCCAGATAGCACTTTTTTGCTCCTCGAGGACACAAGATAATGCCTTCAAACAAAACAGTCACTTTGGAAGAGTTTTCTGTACTAAAGAAAACAAGTTTTGGAGCAGAAGTTGAATGCCAACACCTCAAAATCTGACCCCTGCCTAATGGAAGTCCTCTATGTATTGCACTGCTGCTCAGCTACCATCACCACAAGGTGCAAACTGAGTAGCGCTCCATCTCTGACACTGCAAGTCAATGCTAGCAGGTTGGTTTCCAGTAGTATAAGGACAAGAAAGATGAGAGAAAACTCCCTAGCAAGTCTGCATGTTTTTCCTCAAAACACACTGCCAGACTCCACAAGTTCTCACTCAAACGGATTCCGTGAGAGAAGCAACTTCAGGAATTATTTTAGTAAACTTGTGCTTAGTAGAACCAAAGGGGCCTTAAACAAACAAGATCAGGTTCTGCCTGAGCAACATGCAAATGCTTTCAGGTTGTAATGACCCAAATTCTGCAGTTGCTCCAAAATGCAGCGTAGGTCACTACAGCATTACTTTGCAAAAGAAAAAGCGACCCCCAAAGCAAACACATGATCTGTGGCAACGGGTTAAACGTCAATCACACACCAGAGAACACAAAAAAGTTCCTATACAATTAATACAGCTGCAGCACCTTATAAATCATAGAATCACAGAATTATTTGGTTGGAAAAGACCTTTGAGATCAAGTCCAACTGTACCTGTACACTACTAAACCGTACCCCTGAGTACCTCATCTACCCATCTTTTAAATCCCACCAGGGATGGGGACTCCACCACTGCCCTGGGCAACCCCTGCCAATGCCTCAGAACCCTTTCAGCAAAGAAATTCCTCCTCACATCCAATCTCAACTGCCCTTGGTGCAACTTGAGGCCATTTCCTCTTGTCCTGTCACTTGGTCCTTGGTTGAACAGACCCACCCCCACCTCTCTACACCCTCCTTTCAGGGAGCTGGAGAGAGACAGAAGGTCTCCCCTCAGCCTCCTTTTCTCCTGGCTCAACAACCCCAGTTCCCTCAGCTGTGAACTCATCACACTTGTGCTCCAGACCCTTCCCCAGCTCCGTTGCCCTTCTCTGGACACGCTCCAGCACCTCCTTCTTGGAGTGAGGGGCCCAACACTGGTGACGCAGCTTGCCAAGTGAGTAAGACCTGTCCATGTGGATAGACACCACTGGTTCCTACTCACTGCTCTTGGAGAAAGAACCAATGCAAGACAGGCAACTGAAAACTGCACGTGGGATATCCGCTGTAAATGTGTTTCTTCAAATTCTCAGATCAGCACCTCCTGACTGGGTAAAAAACCTTAACATAGAATTTGCCCATGTCAAACATGTGCACAAACACCACAAAATTAAAGCTCCATCTACAGAATAGCCTGAAGTAGCAAAATCTCCTTACTGCGAGAAGATGTCTCCATGGGAGCTCTGGTGCCCATCCTTCAATCCCTCCTCACCATACGCATCATACTGCTTCCTCTTCTCCTCATCCGACAGCACCTGGCAAAGTGATGCAAACAGACAAGACATTCACCCACAACTGAACTGGCTTAGTTAAACAGCTCAGAGGAAGCTCACCAGTACTCTTCACTGGGGGACAAGCAGCAATGCTTGACATTACAGAAGCACTGGCTAGAACTTCCTTGCTGCACTGGAGTAGAATAGTTAAACATTTATCAGTTAAACCCATAAAAAGTACAGTTAGTTTATTAAAACAGCAGAAGCAACAGAGAAAATATAAACAATACTGAGTTTACCTTAAGGATTAAAAAAGAATCAGAAGGAATAATTGAAATCAATTCCTACAATGCAGGACACACCGAAAACCCACAGAATGCTCCCCGTTTCAGTTTGTTCTTCAAGCACGCAGAACGTGTCTTTCTCTAACTGCTATTTCCTAACAATTAGCAACAATGACAAGTTTGCCAACAAACCTGACAAATATGGTAACTCCACACCAGCTTGAATGCTGGTGCTCATTCCTTAAGGCAGCAAAAGTTAAAAGCAACTTCAGTATTGAGGAGGAATAACAGATCCCAACACATGCGACTTTCCAGACCGTAAAACTTCAGTTTAAATTCCTAAGTATTAATCCTTGCTCTTTCCTTCCACAGAGATGCAGAAGTTTCCAGTCAGATTTAGTCTTCCTGCCCCTTCCTCCCCAGCTGATAGTATTTTGGAAAGTTAAAATTGCCAGGTTAGCTGTCAGAAGGCTGGAGAGGAGTGGAAACATGGAAAAGCTTGTTAAATGATGAAAACCAGCCTGAAATTGTATCTAACAACAAATGCTAGCAATAAGGAAAAAAAAAAACAGTGACTTTAATAGCTTCATCTTGTAGATAAGAGTTCAATTCTCCCTTTGTTGCTTCAGATTTTACTTTAAAACAGACATTTCCTGAGACTAGGATAAGTTTTCCTGTTTGTGATCTGTTGGTCTCAGTACTGCACAGTACTGACAATACCACAAGCAATAAGGAAGGAATAAAGAACACAAAATATTTCCCTTCCCATTAATTTTCCTTCTTTCTGCAGGCTTTTGGAGAACACTACTCCAGTGAAAGGAGTTTCTGTTTGTGATATTAAGTTGCCTTGAAAGTGACGCAACTACCATGGGTAAGCTTAGAAAAACCCCACAGAAATTAAAGCTCCAAACCATTTGGAAACTAATGACTATGGAATCAATCTCCTGTCTAACTGAAACATCTGTTTTCAGCCACAGCTGCAGGGTAGAAATCACTCAGGCTGTTTAAAGGAAGTTCAAGAAGTTTAATGAACCCACTTTCCCCCTGTTTTTTCTGAAGACTTTGCTATAGTCAGCTAGCCAAACCCTGAGCAGCAGTACTACCAACACAGGCTTTGCTTTATGGCAAAAACCATCCTGGTTTAGGTTATAAGGGAAATACAGTTTTAACTCCTTTTTGTCAAAACAATCCAACACAGTGCATCTTGTGGCTAGTTTAGCAGGAAGGATCTGCAAGCTGTACGGGCTAAACAAAGAGACAAAAACCTTGCAGGACATCAAAATGTTAATCCTTCCAAACCTATTTTAAAAACCATGTACATCAATGCTGGATTTTAATGTTCGGATGCATCTCCCTCTGGCAAGAAGCACACAAATGAAGACTTTCAAGGGAGGTTTCCTAGTTTTATTTTCACCAGGACCCAGCAGGAGCTTGTTGTGTTAGCACCAGAACTCCACGCTTCCTGTTGAACAACTTGGAGGTTGTTGTGCTTCGCTAAAACTCTGGTTAGGAGGAGGCAGACTCAGTCACTGCTCAGAAAAGTTAATATCCAGTTACTCCCACCACCACAGCCCCTGCTGATTTGATTTTACAACAATTTTCTCCCCAATGTTTTTAAAAGAAAAAAGTATTCTCAACTGGTACTATGGCAAAGACATGAATAAACTGGGACTTGGGGAAGAGGTAGAGAAATGCTTCTCGTGTGTAAAGTATCGGCAAATGTGACAAGATCTCAACTCACAGAAAGGACTCACAGTCAAAGTAAATCACATGCATCAATCTTCAGGTGCTGCAAATGATAAGTGACAAATACTTCTTTCCACAAAAGAACTCTTTATGCTCACTGGCTTCCCTATGAGAGTTCAGACAATTTATTTCAGAAGAGGTAAGTCTGAACTAAAATGAGGTCACAGCTCTGATACAAAAATAATGTGGGGTTTTTTTCTGGCCAAGGAGAAATGCATTCAAGCTGTTTCTCTCACTTCCTCATTTGTCTTATATTTGCATATCTGAAGAGCACAGGAGAATCAGGGATGGGAGCAGATGCTGCGCTATAGCAGCAGGCTGAGCAGCACCACCGTACTGCAGCGGGAATGCAAACCCCTTCCTCCTGAAGCTCAGCTCCTCAAAGAGGACACAAACCTCCCAGCCAAACACCCCCACCAGTGCAGGCAAACTCCTGGTGGAACCGCTGCTATGAACTCCTGTGGATCAACACCTTCCCAAGGGCCCTCTGCTCCACGGGGGACAGATGTAAACCAACAGTGACAGAAGGGAGAACAAAAAGGACAGAGAACGTAGAAGAAACAGATCATATCACCCTGCCTAAACTGTATTAGTATGTACATATGTAACAGAGAAAGTGGGCTTGGACTTAAAACATCTGGCTAATAAAACAATCTATATGATAAACTGAAGTACCTGAAGGGCCTCCAGGAAGGGTGGGGAGGGACTTGTGACAAGGGCAGGGAGTGACAGAACAAGGGGTGATGGCTTGAAACTGGAAGAGGGGAGATGGAGATGAGATGTGAGGAAGAAATTGTTTGCTGTGAGGGTGGTGAGACACTGGCCCAGGTTGCCCAGAGAAGCTGTGGCTGCTCCTCCCTGGAAGTGTTGAAGGCCAGGTTGGATGAGGCTTTGAGCAACCTGGTCTAGTGGAAGGTGTCCCTGCTGACGGCAGGGGGGTTGGAACTGGATGAGCTTTAAGGTCCCTTCCAACCCAGACCAGTCTGTGGTTCTATGGTTAGTGTCAGGTGTCATTTGTACACTACTATATTATCATGAAAACAACAGGGATCCTCATGCATATGTGACCTAACACCTATTTTTCTCCACCTTAATGCCTTCTAAATGGCAAGCCAACCACCTTGCATCTCCTATCAGCTCAGACTCACAGCCCGGCCCCGTACATACACACACTCACTCACTCCTGTGCCAGTACTTAATAGCTGATGCAACTCTATTTCTTCCTCAAAGAACTACAAATGAATACCAAATAACTTAAACTTGCTGACTTCCTCTTCTCTGGACTAAGTGAACTAAGGTCTTTTATTGTCCTCTGACAAAAGAAGCTCAGCCTGACATCCTCTCTACCTTTGTTTTTCACTTGGTAGAATATCTGAAATTGAATATAGTAATAGGGGAGGAGGGATTGCACCTGCACCTTATAGAAAGGCCTTTACGTTTCTTAGAAGCCCTCCTTTCTCCTTCCCCCAGGTGTTACAGGATGAAGCCTCGTGAGACAATCACAGAATGTTGTGAGTTGGAAGGGACCCACCAGAATCATGGAGTCCAACTCCTGTCCCTGCACAGGACAATCCCAAGATTCAGACCATGTGTCTGAGGGCCTTGGCCAAATGCTTCTGCAATCTTGTCAGGCTTGGTGCCATGACCACCTCCCTGGGGAGCCTGTTCCAGTGCTTCACCACCCTCTGCCTCAAGAACCTTTTCCTCATGGCCAACCTCAGTCTCCTCTGACACATCCTTCTGCCATTTCCTCTGCTCCTAAACTTGGTGGCCAAGCTCAGCTTCATGCTCCCAGCATGTTTTACCAACCTTCCCAGTGTGGGAAGGGCTGGGAGGATTTTAGGTTCTCAGAGTTCCTTCACAACAGACTGCACGACCCTGCCCCACACCGCAGCAGTGGTGCCAGTGCACAGGCACGGTGCAGGGGGGAGCTGGCAGCCCCCAGCCTCACCTCATAGGCAGCCCCTAGGTCCTGGAACTTCTCCTGCGCCCGGGGGTCGTCAGGGTTCCTGTCGGGATGGAGCTGCAGTGCCAGTTTCCGGTAGGCCTTCTTGATGTCCTTGATGGAGGCACCA